TAAATAAACCCTTAAATTTGATGATTTGAGCAATTTAACCCAAGATTGTCAATCTCATACCAATAGGTATGTCGGTTTGCTTACTAGATACATACCAAGTATTGAAAAAATACTACATACTATTTCAAATTTATCACAATTTTTATATAAATTATATATAATTTTGTAATAACATATGCTAAGTATAAAAATGGTCAACTCTCAAAAAAAGATAAATTCATAAACATAGAAGACATGTCCAAAAGAAACAAATTCATAGTATGTCCTTAGAAATTCTTACAACTTGACTTTTTAAACAAAAAAAAAAAACCCATAAAAGAGTTAACAACAAAAGGTTTAAAATTAATAAAGTATCACTAATCGTGATGAACATAATCAAAAGGATTATCAAATGAAGGAATTTCATAATTTGCATTTCCACCAACTCAAAGAGAGAGAGAGAGAGAGAGAGAGAGAACAAAAATTATAGCTTGAGCAAAAAAGAAAAAAAGTTGAAAACTTGTAAATAACAATTATAACTTATAAGATGAAATAGCAAAAAAATTGGCAAGAAATACTCAAAGTTCAACAACAAAGCAACAAATAAGCACTCAAAGTTTATTAATATATGGATTAGAAGGAACACTTGTATTTTCACATATTAGGTGGATTATTGATTTAAAAATAGGAAAATTTACAAATAAATAGATAATATATAAGTAATCAAGCATACTTGATGTTGATTTGCTTGGAATAAGATGAAATCTATGAAGCTAATATGAGAGAGGTGAGTGGGGATGAGGGAAGCAAGTAGCTAAAGAATGAGGACAACTGGAAGAGTTTGTGATTACAGGTTTTACTTGAGGGTTTTTTTTTTCCTAATCTTGCCCCTAAATTTCTAAAAGGACATTGTTTAAGAAGCTCTAGTTTTTTTTTTTTTATTTGTTGTTTAAAATTGTACAGGTCAAAATTGGTAATACTGGCTAGTACACAAAATAATGATCAGTACATTGAATTTTGACTAGTATAGTTGAGAAATTAACTAGGATAACATGGCTCCATCTAGTGTGCCAGTTTTTTGTCAAATCTATTGCACTACAAGATTGACAACTTTGATTTAACTACGTTTTTTACCATGGGTTTAATGTTTGTTTATTTTTATTTATATGAATAAGATCAATATCCATCACATAGGAAATGACAAATCAATATTTTATCCATGCAAGTGAAATACAAACAGATATTGAAGATGCCGTAAAGAAAAAGGGTTAAATTACTTAGATTACCAAGTGTAGGAGTTTATTTGCTTTAATAAAACTTTAGACACTTAATCAAGAATCTTAGATAAATTCAAGGGCTCAACGTAGAGTTTTGCAAAAATTAAAATAAAAAACGTTCTGTCCATATCCGGTCGAACGGCCATTTTCTCATCACAAAATCCGCCCAACCCCAAATCAACGGTGGAAGTTTCCCACAATACATTTACTGTGTCAGGTGGTCCTTCCCACCCCCCATCGCTATTTCGGTCGATCACCTAATCTTCACATCAGTATCTCTGAAGTGTGCCACGTCACCAACACAGCGATAGACCCACCATACCCAATCGCCGCTATTAGCACCTATGCACCATCACAGTCTCAGGCGACAGTCACCAAAACCGGCAGTTTCCCAATTTGCATATTTTGCCGTTTCTCTCTACCCCCCGGTTACCTTATTAAGAACCCACCTCACTGTCTCCATTACTCACCTGCTCTCAGTTACACTGACCAGGAAATATAGCCGTTGCTATTTTCCTGGAAAATATAAGAGTAAATCTCTAACGGGACTTTTCCTTTTCCATATTAAGCAGATTGATTTAAAGTCAGTGATTATGTTGTTTTTCTGGGCATTGAAAGTCTTCTGAGGGATAATTGCATTCTTTGCCTTTTTGAGAAATTACAATCATTCTCTACCTTTTTTTAAGCACTTTTTCAAGTGATTACTATTTCATTTCACCTGCTTTAGCATTAAAAAATCATAACAAAGCAAGTTTAACTGCTCCTTCCTTCAGGTCGGAAGGGTTGGAAAGAGAGCTTCGGAAAAGAGGAGTTTCCTGCGCAGATCTGGTTTTTTGCTTCTTTCTGGGGCCTGTGAGGTACGCTTGTTTTTGGGTTTGTTTAGATTTTGATGAATTCTCGATTTCCTCATTTCAAGTTTTCAACTTAAAAGCTGAAAAGCGAAAGAGGAAAGAACAAAAAGAAAAGAAGCTCTGTTTCTATTGAAACACAGCTCGAAGTGTGTACCAAAGTTCCTTAAAGAATTACTAAACAACAACCATTTCCAACTCAAAGCCGACGAGCTCATTTTTTAATGTGAAAATTTCCCAGAGCCCGCCTATACTTTTGTCGACAATCGTCTTGGAATCTTACCTTTTTCTTCCCCTCGTTGCTTTACATTCTGCTCTCAAAATTTTCAAATTTGCTGTGTTATCTTAATTATATAGTTTTTTTTTTTTGTTCTTTTTCGTTTATTTTCTTTTAGCTTAAAAGGATAAATGTGAAGAGAATACCGGAGAGTCGCAGAAACAGCTCGTTTTTGTTTATTTTTGCTTCAGAGTGTGTTAGGTGAAACCAGAAGGAGGTAAAGATGGGAGCTTTGTACATTTTTTCTTGGATCTTGCTTCTTGGTATGGTGTTTTATCAGGGAGCTTCAGACCCAGTTGAAGATAAGCAAGCATTGCTTGATTTTGTTAACAATCTGCGTCACTCGCGTTCTCTAAACTGGAATGTGAGCACTGCTGTGTGCGGTAATTGGACAGGAGTGACCTGTAGTCAAGATTGTTCCCGTATAATAGCCGTGAGATTGCCTGGAATCGGATTGCACGGTCCAATTCCACCCAATACCATCAGTCGCCTCTCTGCTTTGCAGATTTTGAGTCTTAGATCCAACGGTATTAGTGGGAACTTCCCTTCTGATTTCCCAAATTTGAAGAACTTGTCTTTCCTTTATCTTCAATACAACAATTTCTCTGGTCCGCTGTCAGTGGATTTCTCTGTTTGGAAGAATCTAACCATTGTCAATTTGTCTAACAATGGTTTCAATGGAAGTATTCCTACTTCACTGTCTAATTTGACTCATCTCCAGGGGTTGAATCTTGCAAATAATTCGTTTTCTGGTGAGATTCCTGATCTGAGTTTGCCTAGCTTGCAACAGATAAATTTGTCTAACAATAATCTTAGTGGTAGTATTCCGAAGTCACTTAGAAGATTCCCACCTTCTGTATTTGATGGCAACAACATTTCCCCAGAAAGTTCCCCTCGTGCATCCCCCATTCCTGCGCCCATTGACAGACCACATCCCTTGAAACCTAGGAGTGCTGGGAAACTTGGTGAAACTGCATTGTTAGGAATCATAGTTGCTGCTTGTGTATTGGGGATTGTGGCATTTGCATTTTTGATAATTGTGTGCTGCTTGAGAAGAACAAGGGAGGATGAATTTTCAAGGAAGTTGCAAAAGGGTGAGATGTCACCAGAGAAAGTGGTTTCAAGAAGTCAAGATGCAAACAATAGGTTGTTCTTCTTTGAGGGTTGTACCTATGCATTTGATTTGGAGGATTTGTTGAGGGCATCAGCCGAGGTACTGGGGAAGGGGACTTTTGGTATTGCTTATAAGGCAGTACTAGAGGATGCAACAACAGTGGTGGTTAAGAGGTTAAAGGAGGTAAGTGCTGGGAAGCGGGATTTTGAGCAACAAATGGAGGTTGTTGGAAGTATTAGGCATGAGAATGTGGTTGAGCTGAAGGCTTATTACTACTCCAAAGACGAGAAGCTGATGGTTTATGACTTTTACAGTCAAGGAAGCCTCTCTGCCATGCTACATGGTATGTTGCCTTGCCTTGTCTAATCTCATTCTGTTTGCGTGTGGTTGTATTTGGTTTCTGCTTCATTTTGTCTCTGAAGTGCTGGAATTTTGTTTAGTTGATTGCAATTTTCTATTTGAAAGATAATTCCTGTATAAATGTGTAAATGACAAATTCTGGTTCCACGTTCAATCCCTTTCTTTTCAAGCAATAAAAAGGAAAGGGCTCAACAGAGTATCATAAGTAGAAAATGGAGGTAAAAGTTAGTCGTTGATTTGTAGAGAGAGAAATGGACTTTAATTCATTAAAGCATTGGTCTTGCTGGATGTGTCATAAGTTTTTTTTTTGGCCAACGGATGTGTCATATGTTCAAACTTTAGAAATTTGAAAGTTTTCTGACAATGCATCTTTTATTTGCCCTTTGTATGCAACTTTTTAGGAGGCTTTGAAATTAGCTGGGATTTGGAATGTAACCTTTGCTACTGTGGCAATATAGTTTTTTCACTAGTTTTGCATTTTTCTTTCATAGAAGCCCTATTGGTTAGTTACATCAAGATTGACTAAAGTTAATTGGATTTCTATAGCTTATGTTATTCCAGTGGAAACTCTTCATGCTGCTTCACTGAACAGGAAAAAGGTTGTCTTGCTTGATTTAGTTCCTCCTTGATTGAGAACCGTCAGATATAGTGGCAAAATTGATTTACAGATAGGCCAAGCAGTCTTCTAATCCTTTTTTTTTTTTCCCTTTTTTTGGCCAACCAAGTGGCAGTCTTGTAATCATTCTAACTCAAATTAAGAAGACAAAGGGAAAGAAAATATTTGTGATGAATAGTCAGTAATGGCACTGATTTTCCAAGCTTCAGTTTTTCGTCAGTACTCAAGAAAATTTTCATTTCTTTCTCTAAAATCTGTCCCTGCTCAAAAATGTGTTATGTAAAATGAGGGACTAAACTTGATGTTTATTGAGTAACATGCCACTAGTTGGACTAAAATGTCAAAACAGGGTTTGTGTTCCCATCCCTAGGTAGTTGTTCATTTTCTTTTGGCTTATCATCCCTAAATAGTTCAACAGTGGTTTTTGTTGGCAATTGAGAAGAACATAGAGACATTGAAATATGCTTGAGAGAAATGGACAAATTCTGGGATTTGTCAAAGGGTTGATGTTTGAATTCTGATGTCACTAGCTCCTATACTATGTCTCCAATATTAGTTATTGCTCTCTGTAATCTATGGCAAGATACTTGTTTTGCTGACAGGAATTCTTGTTTCATCTTTCCTTGAAAATTAAATCTAGTTGTGGTGACTTCTTAGAGATCCATGAATGTAGTCAGCAAACAATGTGCCATCTTTATAAATCAGCACTGGAGTTTTATAACCTACTTGTCTTTACTATATGCATTATTACTTAACAATTGTCTCTTCCATCTCATCTTTTACTACGGAATTAATTATATAGTTGGGATTTAAACAGTATTTTTTTGCTTTATTTTCACCTTTCGTCTTAAGTGGTGAGTGGCTCTTTATACTTTATGGTGGCTGCTATTTTGCAGGTAAGAGAGGAGATGACAGAGTCCCTCTAGATTGGGATGCCAGAATGAAAATAGCCATAGGTGCAGCAAGAGGAATTGAACGCATCCATATGGAGAGTGGTGGCAAGTTTGTCCATGGCAACGTCAAGTCATCAAATGTCTTTCTGAACTCCCAACAGCTTGGTTGTGTCTCCGATGCTGGTCTGGCAACTATAATGAGTCCACTAGCCCCACCTATCTCTCGAGCTGCAGGTTACCGTGCCCCAGAAGTGACAGACACCAGGAAAGCCACACAGCCTTCTGATGTCTACAGCTTTGGGGTGGTCTTACTGGAGCTCCTTACAGGAAAATCCCCCATCCATACAACTGGTGGCGACGAGATTGTACACTTGGTGAGGTGGGTGCATTCAGTGGTTCGAGAGGAGTGGACAGCAGAAGTATTTGACGTTGAATTGTTGAGGTATCCAAATATAGAGGAAGAGATGGTTGAGATGTTACAAATTGCATTGGCATGTGTAATGAGGATGCCAGATCAAAGGCCCAAAATGCCAGATCTTGTGAAAATGATAGAAAATGTCCGTAGGATCGATCCTGAGAATCGTGCATCTTCTGGAAACAGATCTGGAAGTTCAACTCCACCACCTCCACCACCACCACCACCAGCAGAAGTGACTGACAGAGAACCCAAGTCTGAAGCTTCATAATTAGTGAGCATTTCACCCATTAGTTATTTGATGATGTTTTTTTTGTCTTTTTCAGTGAACAACTACTCTCGTGGGTCTTCTATTCAAAAAAACTAATTTCAGTAAGCTAGAGGTAGATCAGGTTGTGTGATTCCTCTTGTTATTGCTTGAACCTTTGTTATGAAGAAAATTGCTTGTATTGAATCTACTATTTTAAGTCAACATTTCTACTGTTATCCCTGTATTGGAGATGCACTTTCCAACTTTACAGTAATTTAAAATTGCGTTAATTTTGTCCATATATAGACGAAATTCTTTTGCAGCCTCCCCACATATCCAAATTTCAGTGCTTGTGGATTCCAGAATTTGGTGATGTGGATTGGGGAAATTTCGTATGCCCCACCCCGACCCATGGAACTCGCCCAAAATCCAGTCAACCAGCCCTATATGGTCATTTTTTGAGCCTCATAGGGGATGAGATTCGAACCCGAGATCAGCAAACTTGGCATGAGAAATTCTTTACAAGAAAGAGATAGTTATTAGAGCACGAGAACGTTGTTGGAGCCTTATATGGTCATTAATTTTTATTTTTTATTTTTTTTGAACAAGGGAGAATTTGTAAGGAAAGGAGAGTAGAGTCTGAGATTTGAATTCAAATCATTATGTTCACCACACCCATTCAAGGAGGTGACCACTAAGTCATCGAGGATTAGACCTTATATGGTCATTAATTTTTATTTTTTATTTTTTTTGAACAAGGGAGAATTTGTAAGGAAAGGAGAGTAGAGTCTGAGATTTGAACTCAAATCATTATGTTTACCACACCTATTCAAGGAGGTGACCACTAAGACACTAAAGATTAGACCTTATATGGTTATTAATTTGTTATAATTAAGTAATTTTAATTAATATTTTGTATGCTTTACATAGAAGTAGTACTCATATAGATAAATACCACATCTTCAAAATTAAGAAGATGAAAAAATTAGGAAATTAAAATAGAAGTAGCTTTGAGCTACAATTGAGTAGGTATTTATTTATTTAAAATTTTTAATTTGCGTTAAATTTATGTAATTGCATGCAACAGCCGTAACTTATAATGTTGAAAACAATAATAATAACAACACTTTTTGCTTTAAAATGTTTAAAAACTGCGTATGAAATGTAAAAACGAACAGGATTGAGCTTTAAAAATGTTTGAATTGAATTTAAAAATTTTGAAAATGCCAACGAAGTCTAAATTTAAACAATACTCTGTGGAATTGTTGCTCTTTTTATTTTTTATGAAAATTGAAAGAATAAAATTTTTTTGTGTAATTTAAATTTTTTTGAAAATAACATATTTAATAGACATCTCTTAATATTTAAAGAATTATTTTATTTTATAATTTATATTGTGTAATATGATTAATCTAATACGTGTTTTAAGGGATAGAGCTTAATAGTGATGAATTTAAAATTTTAAATTAGAGATATCAAATTTAAATTTTAAATTTGATGAAAATGAATTTAAGAATATTGAAGGATTGTTTTTTTTTATATAATTTATAATTTTTTTTTGAACAATTTGTCAACAGCAGGCTTGAACCCGCCAAGGGGAAAGAAGAGTGCATCATAATATAATAAGATGTCACTTGATTCAAAAGGCCTAATGCCTTATATAATCTATAATTAAATGTATAAAAAAATGTATATATCAAACAAGCAAAAAGAAAAAAAAAAGAGTAAAAAGTATAAACCCTCCTTTATCTACGTTTTTTATTTTCATTAACGCTTTAGTGTTTAAAATTATATTAAAATTTTAATTAATGTCAAATTAAATTATATAAAAAAATTTATTTCAACATTTATTTTTTTATTTATAAAATTTAACTTTAAAATTTTATTTAAACAACCAAACTCCCTTCATTTAAATTATCCAATAATCTACCTACCTTATTTATATTTTAAATTAATCAAAATTTAATATTATTATCAAATATTAAAAAGTAAATAAAAAAATAATATGCCTTGTTAATTTGGAAAGAGTTAAATGGGATAACTGGTCTTTGATAATTGCGTTTGTATAGAAAATTTGATTTTTGATAACTAGCAGAAATTATCAGGAGCGTGGGGTCCAAGGAGACCCAATCAAAACTCGATGAAGTACGAATAAGGCAGCCGATAATAATAACAATAATAATAAGAATAATAATAACAACAATAGCGTCTCTCGATTACGTTTTCAAAAGAGCAAAAAGATTGTTCCTTGTTGAGAGGAGGAAGTCTCTCTCAGGTACCTCTTTCTTCCTCCCTAATTCTCCAATCAATTCTGTGTTTTTGTTCGATTTCTTGATTCTTTAATTTTTTTTCTTCTTCTTCTTCTTTAAACTAACTAGTTGTGTCGATTTGCGATTTGGCGTTTCCTGTTAGGGTTAGGTCATGGCGTCGAAACGGATCTTGAAGGAGCTCAAGGATCTCCAGAAAGATCCGCCAACCTCTTGCAGCGCAGGTTCAATTCGCCTTCAATCTCTCTTGTTCTTGTTCATTTCCGTCTGCTGGATTCCTTTGATTTTTGTTCTTCTAACTCTTTGCCGATCTGTGTGTGTTTGTTTTATATTTCATGAGAAAATAGTATATGTTTTTCATTGATTTTGTTTTTATCTGTTGAGGCTCTTTACTATTGGAGGCAGAGAGCTGGTTTCTTTGCCATTTTTTTGTTTACCGGTTGTTGTTATGAAAGATTTGGAGCTTAGTTAGTTATTGTAGAAAGCAGGATCTAAGTTGACTCCAGAAATTTTTTTTTTTTTGAAGAATTTATTTTTCTAATTTTATTGTTTTATAGCAGGAGTACTGTCTAATTGATCTTACGCTATGTAGATGTGTATTTCTGTCTTGATTTCATCTTGTGACTCAAATTAGTAAAATTTTCCACTAACTCACATGTTGCATCACCACTGTTGTTTTCCATATTTATTTAACTCTGTAAGCATTCATACAAATTAGTTTTATATTAAGGATTGGTGTCGTTTGCCACGTGTGTGTTTGTTTGTCATGTAATAACTTGGTGGCAATTACGTTTTTGGCTGATCTTGCCCGTGCTTGAGGAAATAGTTATCATTATTGGATGGAAATGGCATACTACAGTTCTCATTTATAGAAAATGAGGTTGTAAGCAGGTTAATGACACTCATACATTTTGCCTGTGCAGTGTATGCATCCTTTATAAATTTTATGCCTGTCATTCTTTCCATAAACCGCCCAAGGGAAAGTCTGTCCTGCAAACGATGATTAGGTTCTTGTTTAATCCTTCTTTGGACAACAACTCTCAAGTAGCGCTGTGTGGCACACCCATCACTTTAACTTGCATGCTGCACACTTAGCTGATAGAACTAATAGCTCTAAGCTGGGCTTTTCTGTCTGATTTAATGGCACCATCAGAGACCATAGTAAAAATGATTTAACAAGATTGAGGACTCAACTAATACAATTAAAGAGTTAGGTTCCCAAGATTGTGGACACCTTTGAACCTTACAATACCTGTGCATTGATCTAACTGTTACACTTTTATCTAAATAAAGGTCCTGTGGCTGAAGACATGTTTCATTGGCAAGCAACAATCATGGGTCCACCTGATAGCCCGTATGCTGGTGGAGTCTTTCTGGTCACAATTCATTTTCCTCCAGATTACCCATTCAAGCCACCTAAGGTATTTTAAGTCTTTAAATTGACTACTTATCTTTAACCTTGATCTTGAATTCTGTATCAAGAGCATTTTTCAATGAATAAAGGGCTAATTTGTGGGCATGTCTAGTGAGCTTATGATTTCTCTTATTTTGCCGTTAAAGAATTTTGTCAAACTGACATTCGATGGAATTTTTTCAAATGGATTGATGAAGCAGAACAAACTTGATTGATATGTGATATGGTGTGGACCATACAAGAAATTGGCCTGAATTTGGAAGCACTAGGAACAATTTTTGCTGGCATTTTAGCTTTTACTCATAAAAATCTTAATTATCTTCAGATTTTTGTCTGTATAAAATATATATTCCATGCTTTTAAAGTGTTCTATGATTAAGGTGTCTTTACAGGGTAATTGGC